GAACAGGGGAAAGAGGGGGAAAAAAAAAAAAGTTGTAAACATTTAGCAGCTATGCAGCCTGTACATCACAGGTGCAAGGGTGACATTGCCCAACGTCACCCTTGGAGAAAAGGCCCATTGTTGCCCCAAAACAATCCAAATGAAAGCAGTAATCCCTTCTAACAATCTTTCATTGGCAAATAGTGTGGTAAAACAGATCTTGCAGCATTATAAAACCTGTATGAAGGTTTTTATGAAGTATGTTCACTGTGAATGGTGATGAATTTGACTAATGGTGGTGAATGACATAATAAAATAGCCTACTCTTAACACACAAACCCTTATAACACTGACAACCCCTTGAGGATAAACCTTCATTTTCTGCTCTCAATGACAGTACAAGATTAAAAAAAGAAAAAACACACCCCCACAGGCTAATCTTCATTGACTTCACTACAGTGCTTAATGTGACACAGCTAAAATTCAACACAAAATGCATCTGCTCCTGCATTTGTCCCTTATTTGAATGTCTCTTAATCAAGTGCCACTAACAGTCTTTTAGTTGTTCCCAAATCACTCTTGTTCTTCCACACCTCTACAAGCTTTGCAGATTGGGTCCCCAGAAGAGATCTGTTAACCAATTCTGACACTACCAACGATGGTGTGACAAACAGATGGATCAGATCTCATACTGAGTATTCAGAGCTAGCAATAAAACATTTTTTGGTTAAGGCATGCTGCATTTTTATTACAGAAACTATAGGAAATAACAGAATCATCCATTTCCATGCATTCAGTTATATTTTTACAGGCTGCCACAGTAACTGGGTATACTACTTAGCACTGTACAGTAAAAATCTACAGATGCAAATGTCTAAATTCAGCATATAAATTGCATCTGGAGAAAAGGCGGTGTGAAAACGTATCCTGTAGAACTGCATACTAAACATAGTTTATGCTCACAGATGACCAAAAGAACCCATCCAATATTGACTGATGTAGAATGGAAAATCTACAGTGACCAATGAAAACATGCTGACACAGTTGAATTTACAGTAGTGGTAGGTCACTGGTGAGGTATCACTGATGGCTATTCCATCTGATATCTTGGTGATTACAATTACAATCAAAGAATTTTTTTAAGTTTAAAAGGGAAATTATCATAATGCAAAAATTTAAGCAGAAGTCACCAAGACCGTTAATATTCTCCTGCATTTCAAATGTCAAATCTGACATAGTTCCCTCACTTTGTATAGCAGAAAAAGGTAAAGTCTGTAATGGACCTACTCGACGTAGGTATTAATTCAGAGTGTTGTATTTTAGTATTGGGCTTTGTAGTTATCGATTGTATATATACAACTCTGCGCTGCTTTTAAAAGAAGTTATGTAGTCATACAAGGCAAGGGAGCAGGTTAGATTCCACTTAAATAACTGTATGATGTTAATACATCTCTTCATCATCGATGTTAATACTACTCGGCTGTAGACTTTTTTAATTAGCAAGGTCTAGCTTTCCTGAATGTGCTTATAAAAACTCTAGCTTACTTTTATAAGTCGGTCAAACTTATGAGCTAGGAGTTGGCTACATATAGGGATTATATCATCAATCTTCCTATGCAGTACAGCTAGTGTAATAAGAATGCCTGTGTTCTTTTTCCTAGTGTTCTATGAAAAAAAATTGGGAAACAGGATAGAAAACTGACCAGGAAAGTCTTCCAACAGGAGGAAGGGCCCTTTCCAGTCCAGAACACAAAAAGAATTTTTCTGCTACTGTGAGTACACCTTTAGGGTAACACTCTGAACTTCAAGGATTTACACAACAAAGAATGTTTCAGTCCTACAATAGCAGCCTTGGTGTTCAAATATTCGTGAGTTACAGATTACTAGAAAAGATGGAGTAGATTCTGACCAGAAACACTGAAATTTTAGAACAAGACTGTAATGACAACTCCAGATATGAGACTACCCTGTCACTGAGAATACACAAAATGAGCTGCTCTGGTATTTCTCGCTGATAAAAGTGCTAAAGAAATTAGCTGCCGAGTCCTATCACTTTGTCACTAGAATTTCAGCACTGACAGAACACTAGGGGCAAGATCAATTAAAAGACTGAAAACAAAGAAACACATAACCCACAAAGCAAGATCGACAGAGCATCCCCGGAATTCGTGACACACGACATTCTGGCGGCATTCGCAACCAGCGTTTTCCTAGGGCACTTCACGGACCGAGCAGGCGTTAATGACACTGAGCGAGCGCAGCCGGGCGGCGGCGGCTCCCGCGGTGCTGAAGGGACAGCTCCGGCCGCGGCAGCGCCGGCCCCCCACGCCCAGAGCCGGCTCCAGAAAGGAGCTGCGACAGGAAGGAGAGACGGGCAAGGGAGAACAGAAGACACGGAGAGCAACGCTCTTGCTGTACGCTGTCACCCGTTTTACTGTGCTGGATGCAAAGTTTCCAGATGACACTTGGTGTGTTACACGGCAAGTTACTTTGCAAAGTAGCCTTTTGCTTCCAAGTACCTTCTTGGCTTTCCTTTGAAAACATATTTAAGGCAGACTGGCCACCTCACCCTCCTGGGTAGCTTAACCAGAGAAAAAACAACTCATCTTTAGAAAAGTTTTGGTTGGTGGTGTTTGGTTTTTGTTGGGGTTTTTTGTGTTTTTTTTTTTTTTAAGGTATTTTGTCTTGAATTAGTTTCTTCGTTTCCACAGAATTAGTTATACAGCTACATTAGTACACAAAATACTCATTTTTCTTCACCCTTCTAAACACAACCCCTCTTCTAAATTGCAGTTTAATTTGGCAGACATTCTGTACTGCACTGTAAGGTCAATGGGAACGTTTAACATGAATTTTTGCCTTAAAACTTAAGAACTGATGGGCTGTCGCTCCTCTAGGGACAGATAAGGAACTACAGAGCCTGTATATCTTGAACCAGTGGCTATGTTGACAACTGCAAAGCAGTTGCTGTTTAATCATCATTTATTATACCATACAAGAGAGCTATTTAATTCAGCCCATAGTGTGGAAGAACCCATAGTGCAGATGAGGGTCCTTCAAGCTGGCCCAACTGCTGACAGCCTCCAGAGGCTACTTTTATCATTCATGGTACCCTGGCTGAGGTAAGATTCAAGGACACTATACAGATGGCTGGGAAGCAGCATGCAATTACTACGTATACTACTACAGCTCTCAGTGGAAGCAGAATCTCTAGGACTTATACTGCAAAACCTTCAGCAAACTTGAAGATAAACTCTTAGGAAAGCAATTAAAAATAGCTTCCGTGCCCAGGTGCCCATCTGGAATGACACTTTGAATTACTCCTACAAAATTTTAATACTTCATAGTCCAGTAAGTTAACAGTAGACTGTTATTCCAAACACCTATCAAACTAACATCACCAGCTCCAAAAATGGGTATCACTCCTTGCAAAGGGTTTTCTAACATGAAGCTTGAAAATCCAATTTAACAGCAACCCAAGTACATCATCCCTTATAAAAAAGAAAAGGGACATATTCCTTTAGCATATTAAAAACTTATTGAATAGGAATAAATTCTACTCTGTCATAAACATACTGTTGATGACTTGAGAGGAAAGAAGTAGTGCAGTCCTGTTGTGGTACTAGAAGGGTAAGACAAGGATAAAAGGAGAAGTTGCAACTCCACAACTGTTCCTGAACTATCAAACTACAGAAGGTGCAATAATGCAAGTGAATCCATAGTGACAAAGCCCCCACTTGGAAAGTCAAAACTGGAGGGGAGCTGAGGCTTCATGAAGTCCTGCAGAAATGGTTTGCCTAACTATCTCAAATGCATGTGCATGTGGCGAAAAACAATTTATCTATACTGTTCCAGTATGAAAGAAAGCACCACCACGGCCCAGCCTAGTCTCTTCAGAATCCCAAGGGCAATACTACAAATTACTGAGATATTACCTAAATACTTTCAAGCAGAACACAGAATAAGAAAAGTGCTATTAGTTGTATTCCTTGGAGATACGTCCTAGATAGGACAACGCATCTTTTTGCTTTCTAGAAAAGCCTACTAGTCTAAAGATTTTTCTCTGCCCCTCCAAAAAAAAAAAAGCTTTATTCTTGCCTGAATTGTCAATAGTCATAGATAAACAGGATCTAGAAACAGTAGGTCCACACTGTTTCTCTTCCACAATTGTACATAGCAGGTAAAAAAAAAAATGTAGAGATGAAATGGCCCTATTCTCTGGCTCCAACAAAGGCCTCAAAACTGCACTGAGGTTCACAGAAACAAACCAATCCCTCTGTGCCTTCAGCACCAAAAGTTAGTCAAGCAACCCTCAGGTAGGCCCAGATATCCAAACCTAGATAAAACTCATTCACAGGTGGTTTAAAACAGAAGGCGGCAAAGGTCCAAGGAAGAACCTGGTAACATAAGTCAACACAGAAATTTTCAAGTAATAAATCATAAGCTTTGGATTAAGAGAAAGGAAGATAGTGATATTAGCAGCAAATCAACACTGCAGAAAGCTACTGCTTCCTATCCAGCAATCTCTCCTTAAGGATAGGCTTAAAGGGAGAAACACCAGAGTCACCGGTGAATCCACCAATGCCTAGCCACCAACCTTCACCATTTGTGAAAATGTACCAACACAGGACTTAACACCGGGAAACTGCTCCTGGCGTCAGTGAAACCCTTACACTCTGAGCTG